GAAACAATAATGTACAGTATGTGGAAAATAATGTGTTTTTTGAAACTTAAACTGCATAAACACATTTCATTACACCAAATACACAAAATAATGTTCTTTTTTAGCAACGTCATGATCCCTTTAAAAGATTTTTGTTTAATTGTAGAACATCTATCTATCTATGTATCTATCTATCTATCTATCTGTTTGTTCAGTCATTCATTCATTTGATGTCTTCCAGCTCCCATCCGGTCGATCTCCATTGACATCAATCCCTCTGGGCTGATTCAGTGCTCTACTAAAGATGTCTACCCAGCACCGGTGGTGCAGTGGAGCACAGAACCCTGGTTAAGTCCTGCTGCTCTGCAGCCCATCACCCGCATGGCTCCTGGCGGAAAGGGCCTCTTTACAGTGGAGAGCATCCTAAAACAGCAGAACAACAGCCTTGATCATATTTATGTGTGTGACATCACCTCCAAATATGGCACACAGACATGGACAGCTTCATTACAGCTGCAAGGTAAAACTTGATCATACTATAATGTGCATAATGTGTTATAAAGGTGATAATACCAATGTTGTCTCATATACATCACAGAAATTACCGGCTTTGAAGGGAAAGACCTGGTTATTCCATGTAAAGCTCCCAAGAACCTTCAGTCCTTCTCTCTCGTCTGGACTTTTACGGCAGCAAACAAAACCACAGATATCCTCACGTATGACAGCCAGACACATGAATCCAGCAGCTCCTGGGATCACGCAGAACTAGAGGAGGACAACGCATTGAAGGGGGATGTTTCACTAAGCCTGGAGAACCCTGGGTTAGAACTTTCTGGAATCTACACATGTGCCTTCTTAGAAGCAGAGACACGGCATCTAATACAGACCCGTGTTGTTATTACATCCTCCAGACAGGGAAAAGGTATCCACTGATCCATGAACTCATCCATACATTAATTAATCTGTTGGACCAAAGCTAGAACTCATTTCCTGCTAAAACATTGTGGCAGTTTACTTTTTAACAGCAACATCCGTCTTGATTTAACACTTTTCTTCTCTTTTTCTCTGTAGATTTTCTTAAATATAATCTGTGGATATTGGGTATCGTCGCAGGATTAATCGCCCTTCTTGCACTCACTTTAATTATAAAAAGATACAGAGGTAATACAGTGAACAGAACTTACTGTATAATAATTAATCTGCATAATAGTGTTTATTGTTAAAAATACACAGAGTGTAGATATTCAGTCTATATAAATGGTCCATGATGTTTATGTGTGCAGTAAAATCAAAAAGAAATCAAGACAGCACTCAAGAGGATGCGGAAATGCAAAGCATGAACCCAGGCACTGTCCAGTCATCTTTTATTTTTTATAATTAATACATAACAGAACACATAAGTTCCCTGCTATTTAAAAACCATGTCAATTTAGATTAGAATTCTTGCAACTGAATGTTTTCCTTTTGTCTTTCATAGACAAAACATCAGAAGAGCCACAAGCAGGAAATAAACTTATGACACAGCCTTCAGGTTCTCACAGTTAGCCATGGAAAGAAGAAAGAAGAATATTATGAGAGAGAAACCAGTATGAGATAAAAGTTGGAAGACCAGTTGATGGGACTTTATTTCTATACAGTCTTCTTTATTTCTTATTTGTGAGAAACAATTTGGAAAATGACATAAGAAAATGTTTAATGTGTTTTTTTAATGGTACTTTGATTACATTTTTTTTTTCCATAATTTATTTTGAAATATAAAATAAAATAAAAAAATATTATTTGTGAAATATTTATTATTAATTTTCCATAAACCTCAGACAAGCAATTAAATTAGTAATTACACTACCATTCAAAAGTTCAGTAAGATACATTTTTCATATATATATGTGTGTGTGTGTGTGTGTGTGTATAAATTAATACTTTAATTCATCAAGGATGCATTGCATTAATCAAAAGTGACAGTACAGATATTTGTGTCACAAAATATTTCTATTTCAAAAGTTATTTTGAACTTTCTATTAATCAAAGAATCCTGAAAAAAAGTTATGGTCTCCACAGAAATATTACATATTTTCAACATTGATAATAATAAGAAATGTTTCTTGAGCAGCAAATCAGCATATCAGAATGATTTCTGAAGGATCATGTGAAACTGAGGACTGGAGTAATGATGCTGAAAGTTCAGCTTTGCCATCATAGGTTTAAATTATAGTTTAAAATATATTAAAATAGAAAAATATGTTTGAAATATTTCACAATATTGCCATTTTTTACTGTATTTTTGATTAAATAAATGCAGCCTGGATGAGGATAAGAGTCTTAACATTAACATGTTGAAATATCTTCTTATTTAGGACTAAAATAACCACAACATGACACATGTGCACAGACCACACCATTCCACACTTTGAGGTTTAAATTCACTGGTTTGTTCTTTTGCCTGGTTATTTTTTCTTCATCCTCTGCTTAACTGTACCTGTTACATGGCCAAACCAGTTCTGGTCACTATATGTCCACTCATGCACCAGCTGGTTAATCATTCACTGGTTTAATTGATATGTCCACAAGGGTCTTTCTCTCCCCCTTTCTCACGCGCACACACTTTCAGGACACATGCACTTGTACAGAGAGACAGATTGTGGCATCTCAGTAAATTGAGCTGAACGTGTGGCATAGTCTTGACTGTCATGGACCTGCTGCGTCTGTGTGCCGCATTTGTGCTTGTTCTTTGGACTTGGGTATCTGGTATCATCATTACTAAAGGTAAGGTCACATACACACACATTCACTTTTGATAATGTTTCTCTCCTAAGGGAAGAACAGAAAGAAAAATGACCATCACTGTCTTGTGGGAAAGCCTCTACTACATTTTTTTTTTAATGTTTTAGTTGTGTTTTGAACTATTAAATTTGTATTTAATTTGTATTTAATACGAAATTGTATATAATATATAAAATAAACAAATATAGATATATAAACATTTCTATATATATATAAATAAAAATATAAAAAGTCTCTACATGCTTTTTAATGTTTTAGTTGATATATCATGCATGCTTAACTCCCAAGGTTTTTTCAGAAAAAAATGTAATCTATAATATATGATAGAATTGTTTAATTTATAATATAAAAATATAAGATTAAATTATTTGTACATGTAATAAAATGGACATAAGTGAATCATTTGTAATATTTAAATTTTATGTTTTTATTTATTGTGTGTGTGTGTGTGTGTGTGTTTTGAATCTCCGTCATTTAAGTTGTTCAGCACTAGCTGTTGGCTCAGTAAATGGATCAAAGCAGCACTTGTAGGAAACTCCATTAGTCTCAGATTAATGACCCTTGTGAAAGCGAATAATCTGTGATTCATTTATGAGGAATAGACAGCCTACAATTAAATCACAATTTAAATGGTAGGAAAAACAGATTGTTGGAAAACAGGCTATTTGAACAAAACAACAGGTTAATTACAAAATCATTATGTGCAAATGTGTAGTTTTATTATTTCATAATTTGGCATTGTTTGGCATAAAGTAATTTTAAACCAAGGCAACAAAACAATAAACTCTGATGTGGGACTGATATCTGTTGAGAGTACTAATATAGGTACTAATATATTGAATTTTACATTGCAATTACAGTGCATTAGAATCTACATGACTCATTTGAACACAGTCGTTTACCTTTAAACTGATTTTTACTCGAATTGAGAGATTTTACATGTGCTGGTCTCACTCTAGATGCACATGTAACGTGTCTGTTCTATGAAGACTGCGTGCTGCCCTGCAGTTTCAAGCCCACAGGGGCCGTGGTCATCCACTGGTACAAGCAGCAGATCCCCGTCCACAGCTACTACTACAATAAGGACCAGTACGGCCTCCAGAACAAGCATTTCAGCGGCCGGACCAACCTGTTTAATTCCCAGATCGCACAGGGAAATGCCTCTCTGGTGCTGAGGAAAGTTAAAGTCCAGGACCAAGGGAGGTACAAGTGCTACACCAGCACCAGGAAGGGAAACCAGGAAACCTTTGTTAACCTGGGGGTCAAAGGTCAGTAACAGGGTCACAGGTTTGTCATATTTTTGAGTTTGCTTGGGTTATTTGGGTTATCTGTAGCACCTACTGTTGATCACCTACTGTAAAATTTATTTAGACATTTTTATTCAAGGAATTTCAGGGGGCCACAAGAGGGTCCTAGGGGGTCTGTGGAATAGTTCTGAGAAAGATGTAAAATTAAAAATGAATAATACTACAATTTTAAAAATAAAAGTTAAAATTTACTGAATCTAATAGATACTGTTTCATTCTGGTAATAATAAACAAATGAGATTATTCATAAAGTATTTTATTCTACTGATAAACGAGACATTTATTAATTATTAAAACAGTATTAATTTAATAGAAGGTTATAGAAATAATAGATATTAATAAAAGTCATATTTTTTTCAGATATACTTTTATTTGGCAAATAGTATTTATTTTAATATTGTCAGCTTTTTTTTTTTTTTTTACACATTTTACTTCAGCTTTGTTTATTGGTTTTAAGCACGAAAAAGTGTTAACAACAACAAACCACAGATAAATATTTGATACAAATTTAAAAATATTTTTATACTGTAAACATTAGACTTCATACAGTACATGAAAATATATAGCTACGATGAACATTTTGTCCAGGTTTGTTTATTGTTTTATATAAAATTGATAACATTAACACAGCATATATAAATATTTGATACATATTTTTATACATAATGAAATATTAAAATATACTCTGTTATTGTAAAAAAAATAAAAAAATAAATAAAATTATATTAATCACAAATTATTTAATGCTATTTAGAGGTAATGCACAAAAACAGTATTCATTTAGTATAAACCTATGTTTAGATAATTTAGATAATCTTACGTTTTGATCATTTTATGTGGTGCATCTTCTGTCACGCTCAGCTCTGATCCAGTTTGTGAAGCTTGAGATGGTTGAGGAACGGCTCATCTGTCTGTCCCAGAACATCTATCCAGCTCCTGAGGTCACGTGGGTCACTGATCCCCCTATTGACACCAGAAGCCTCCAGAACTTCACTCGGAAAACATCAGACTCAAAGGGCCTGTTCACCATCGAGAGCAGTATCAGTGTGATAGGCAACATCTCTGATCATACTTACTTCTGCTCTGTTGTGTCAGCGGATGAAATGCAGGTGTGGACTGCATCACTGCATCACCAAGGTAACTACTTACTGATACACAGACTGTCAAGAAAGGTGTTTGTTACAATTTTTTAAAATCTCTTTTGAATGATTTGAATCTTTCAGATAAGTTATTTGGCGAGGAGGGCTCTGGACTCCTGGTTCCCTGCATGGTGACACAACCTTGTCACAATTTTACCCTCACTTGGACCTTCATCAGAACCACAGAATCCATCGTCATCTTCACTTACGACAGCCGGACCCGGCGGATCGCGAACCTGTGGGAAAGTAAAGCTGAACTCGACATAGATCAGGCTCACTTAGGCAATGGTTCCCTTCATCTGTTGAACCCAGACAGCTTAGGACACAGCGGTGACTATATTTGCACATTCTACGGCTTCCAGATGAGACATCAAGTCCAAACTCACGTTAATATTACAGTTCGCGTGACTGGTGAGATTAACTTAATGTCAAGTCTTTGAAAGATGGGCACAGTCATTTAACTTAATGACTATATTGAGTGTTAATTCATAATACAATGTTTTTTTTGTTTTTTTTCCAGATGATGATGAGCATGACTGCAGGAGGTCATGGTGGGGAACTGCTGCATCTGTCTTCATATTTCTGATCACTGTATCTGTAGCTCTGTCGCGATGTTTTAGATTGAGAGGTAATTAAAAAAAAAAAATTTTTTTTATAATATACCAATATATTATTTAAAATAATATATATTTTATTATGCATTGTTTACACAAAATATGTAATATTATCATATATGACATCATAATAATATATCATAAAATGTTCTAATATATTTTGTGTAATATTACATGAAATAATATAATATGAAAAGCAATTTCCATTTAGCTTTTACTTTATTATAATACAATTTTTAAATATACTGTATATTTTGATAGTGGTATATATTATATATTATAGCAATATATTATTTATAATAATTTATATTACACAATTAATATTTTCACACAATATATATGTAGTATTTATCATATTATAATCTATAAAATATAATATATTTTGTGTAACATTTTTGTATATAATAAATTTATTTCACCATTTTGCACAATATTTATGTATAGGTATAATATTAATATATAATATAATACATATACAATATGATAATATGTTAAATAAAATAAAACATTTTGTGTAATATAGCACAATACATGATAAAAAGCAGTTTTACTTTAGCTTTTACTTAAGGTACATTGTCTCTTTCAGGTGAACAACCAGTACACAGCCATTCAGACATCAATAAACGAATCAGATGTAGCAACAACACCGGTAAATAATTATCCTCATTCATGCATTCATACGGAATGCAACGCTCTCTAATATCCTTTATTCATTTTGGCAGAAATCCCGCTATTTGA